TGTAGATATTTCACAGTGTAGTTTGTAGTTCTTTAAGGGTGTAGTTTGTAGATATTTCACAGTGTAGTTTGTAGTTCTTTAAGGGTGTAGTTTGTGCGCATTATACAGAGATGTGTTTGTGTCGTTCCGCTCACCCTCACTGAATTAAACAGTGATTGTACATCCAGTTGAAGCAGCACTTCTTCACAAACAGTTTCGAGAGTTAACTGCACTGATATAAAAACATCTGTGGCTGAGAAGCTGCGCCATGTAAATGGAGCTGGCACGCTAACTGTTGCTAAAGCTAACCTTACTGCACAGAGTGTGGGACGCTGTGTGTGAGCCAGAGGAATAATCTCTAACCGGGTCTGTAGAAGAAGAGCAGACTGCTCAGGTTCTCCATCAGCTCCATTATTCGGTGTCTCTTCACATAGTCAGCCGCGTCTCGTTCTCTCTGCGTCGCCATTTTCTCCGTCTCCCGTTTGTTTAAGCTTGTTGCTATGATACCAGCCTTACATGACCACAGCACGTGTTAGCAAAGGAGAGGAAGTCCATTCAGAATAAATAGTATAAATACCCTGGGTACTGAGCAGCCAGCAAATCGTGCTCACAGTAGAATAATTCAGCTTTGATTGGGACAGTTTATATTATAAAAATTGTATTTTTGTATTTATTCACATTGATTGATCTTATTTCTTATTGCTGCTATCTGCTATTCAATCAATTAAAGTAGCCATCCCTTCTCTTAGTTCTATTGTGTGACACTTTATTATTTTATGGGTTTAAAGTGCCAGTAGCCTCTCCTCAGTGATCTACAAACGCAAATTGTGTGTGACGAAGCCAGACTCACAATGTCCACTCAGATGAAAGTTCTTACAGGTTGACTCTAAATTCTAATTTCCCAGGCAGCAAAAGTATAATTTCAGCTTGACACTATGTCAAGCACATGCAACATCATGCAAGGAAGCTGTTGTTAACTGAGGTGCTTTTATTAGTATTTTCAGAGGCCAGTTATAAGAAGACATTCAGAACTGGATCTTTCGCCTCACCCCAGAAGAATTAGGATGCGGTTCTTCAGGATAATTCTGACCTCTTTAATGTAAATGCTGAGCAAAATATTTACTCCAAAATGCTGTGTGTAGCATATTTCATCACACAAATACAAACACAATCAAAAAGGATGAAAAGATGTATTGACATCAGATGGATACAACTGGATGGAAAAGATAAGGTCTTCGTCTTGGGCAGCAAAACTCCAACATTCCACTCTCATTTGTTCCATTATAAGAAACCGGCCAACGCAGAAGATCTCCATTTACTGATATCCAAGTTCACCCTGGCATTCTTCAGCCTCCGGCTGTTGGCAAAAACTGGATAAAGTCTTCTCAATTGTGAGTCCATCACACAGAGGATGTATAACTCAGTCCACTTTTTGTTCTGCTCTGAACTGCTGTAACGTAGCATCAGCTTCTTCTTTGACTCTGTATCCCAGCAGTTCTGTCTGAAGCTCCCCAGGCCTTGGTGGGATCTCTGGTATACTCTGAAAGAGCAGAACAGCAAGTGTTGTTAAACACACAGTAAAAGAAAACAGAGCCCATTCAGTTTTTTTTAATTTTCCAAACAAAAATGTAAAAATCTAATAATGTGACACTTCAACATATTAGCTACACTTGAAGTGATAGTGAAACCGTTCAAAGACCTTGAACACCAACATTAAAAATCTGGTTGTTTGGTACCGATTCTAACACAGTTGTGCCAGATGTTTGCAGACCTGTTAAAGACCTGACAGAATCATCACTACTGTACTGTGTATACATTAAAGCTGCTCCTTTTACCCCTGGTGTGTGGTGGCTGTCAAATGACTTTATGGCTATTGCAGAATTGCAGGGTAATAAAAACTGAATGGGGAAACTGGGGGGAATGGTTTAATTTGTCCCTCACCAGATCAGGTAGGTAGTACTGATGGACGACCTGTGCTCCTGCAAACATGGCCAGTACACTGGCTCCAAACATCCTCAGGTACCGAGGCCAAGACACACCGGCTGGCATCCTCACACACTTTGTTCACCTGGAGACAGAAAGAAACACAGAGGTAGAGTCAAGGTGCTGTTCATGGACTTAACAGTTTTAAAGAATTTCTTAGCAAAATAAAAGAGGTTAAAAAGAGAAAAAGTAGAAGAATTTAATAATAATAATAATAACAATGGCTTGCATTTATATAGCACCCCTCAGGGGACCCAAGGACGCTTTACACATGTCAGAAATAAGTAGAAGGAGTAAAATAGTACAAATGCAATTGATAGAAATGTGTGCAATAATAAAATAACAATAACATGAATACAATGATGACCTTAGATGTTGTAACATAGTTTAGTTAGAGGCTCTTATGTATAAAAACATTGGATTTTAAAAGCTGCAACAAATGGAGCAGAAGCATCTGTCTCTGCTCTTCTTTTTAGTTGGGTGATAAGTGGAATATTCTGTTAAATAATTTGCTGGATAACAAAAAACAAACATTGTCCAGTCAAATTGTAGAAATAAGCCTCATAAGCTTCTTAATATGAGTTGAAGTATGAAGTAAACATCATAGATGAGCTGTTTGTGATATCAATGTCAGTGTGTGTTAGCACCTTTGGCTAGCAGCATAGGTTAGCACCATGGGCTGTATGTAAAGGTTAGCGCTGATGTATCAGAGGCAGAAACAGATAATAGTGACAAAGCGACGGACTCGATCTGATCTTACCTTGTTTATGTCACTGTCATTGAGAGAAGTGCTCGCTGGGTTTCACCATCTCTCAGACACCAGTGTCACACGGGTCATGCTGTTCAGCTGACACGGGGATAGTCCGACAGAGTCAAGAGCTCTCACTCTGCCTTTACTCGCGGATACAACAACAAAAAACGGAGGTTTCCGTTTCCCTACATGTATTTGTAAACTATGTGGTAGTTCTTTTTGTGAATTTACGTGTTGAAGACGATATTAATTTAATTTAAAAACATGTTAAGCTTCAATGATTAATAGAACACCCTCGATGTGTATTCTGCTGCGTTCAGGTTGCATTTCTTATCAGCATTTTCTATATAGTTTGTGAGTAAAACGCTATTTTCGCTAGCTGCATACTATTTGTAGCTGTTTCAGACTTGTCAATCAGGGGAATCGTAACAGGAAGTAAATAATAATCCAGATATTAGACTGACTCGAAATAAGACACCTCTTTTTTCCCCTGTGACGTCCAGTTTTTTCACTGTGGAGTGAAGTTCTTTACAAAAATACACATATCTTTGGCTGCTGCCTTCTTCTACGGCATTAAGCTTGTGGGATAAACACTCTAACGCCATCTAGAGGCAGCGGGAGGACGTGCAGTCTGTGAAGCGTACAATAGACGTGCGCTGCTTTGCTCCACGTGTGTTTCCTGATGTTTGAAATGATGCGGGACTCGCGCTGTCTCACTCATTAATAACAACAATAATAAACAATAACCGATCGTCTGCGGTGGTTGCTTGATTTAGTGGCGTGGCTAAATGTACACCTCCAAACCGCGAGATGGCGCTAAAGTTTGACTCAACCCGAGTGAGCGTAGACGTCGATCGTTTAAATGGTCTTTGTTTTGGGCGGACTACCAGCCCCCCACGTCTGCTTATTTGAAAATTACAGAACAAAATGTATGACAGGTACGTTAGTTTGATCATATGGCTTCATGTTTCGTTAATGAGTCGCTCTCTTCCGGGTTCCCCACCGCTGCGTTTTGTTGTTAGCTCACTGTTGAGTTAAAGCCTCCAGCTTCCTGTCTTCTTTGTGCCTGCGGTGTCTGTTAACGTGCTCAAATATCCACACAGTTCATGTTTACTACTGCTTATATGAACGAACGCGGCAGGTCAGTAAATGTTCATCCATTCAAACAAGTCAACAGTTAAGATGGAGGAAAACCAGTTCACATCATTGACGGTTCCCTCGGATTATTTTCAGCAGTGGTGAGTTGGTGTTGGAGGTGAAGGCAGGTCCTGGGTCTTCATTGTCATGCATGAGATGGAGAATTTAAAAAAATCATCTGACACGATCCCATACACACCTACACTTTATATCCAGGTTTGTAGCCAGTGATGGTTCGTTTATTAATGCTAATGAGATATTCCTGTAAATAGATGCTGCTGATGGAGGACTGTTATCTGTAATCTTAGATGTTAGTTGTTATCCAGTGTGTGAAACAATAACTCTTATCATTCCCAGATAATCAGAAAGAGTCATGTTGCACCATGAATATTAAAGGTTCATTGTGTAAAATCTGATGACGTCTAGTGATAAAGTTGCATGTTGCAGTTGAATACCCCTCACCTCAACCCCCCCTTCCAAACAAAAGGTGTTTAGTTTTGTCTAAAACTTCCGTAGAGACGACCCGCTCCTGATGTAAATATAAAGTATTTAAATATAAAGAGCCCATTCTAGGGTAAATTAAAAAAAACTATTTGTTCTATTAAGATGAAACACACTAGTGAAAACCTCACTAGGATTATTTTATATTCAATTTCTGACAATGGATCCCTTTCACCTAAATCTTGCACACTGGATTTCGATTATTGTGTCATGCACTTTAGGCAGGACACCGATTTACAAGACACCAATATTTAGTTAGAAAATAAATACAAAAGAAGACTTATAATGACAATAATGATAATCACAGCCACAGATGGCTGGTTTATTTGTAGTAAAACGTAGTCAAAGAGAATGAAACCAAATCTTCTCATTTGTTTACACCCTGTCAAATCAATATGTTTTGAGTTTGGAGACATTTAGACATTTAAAGCCGTTACTTTGGCCGACACAAAGATGTTAAGGCTGTTTTACTTTTTGACATTTTACAGACCGAGTTAAGGGATTAATGGAGAAATGAAGAAGCAGATTAATAAAAATGATCTTTATTCGCAGCTCTCTCATGAGAGATGTCCTGCAGCTGGTTTGCCACGTGTAAAGGGATGTAAACATTACACCATCACTTGCTACAGGCTTTATAAATACACCTGCACTCTATCTATTTGCCAACTGCAGTATGGATGCAGCCATAAGATAAACTCTTCACGTGTTTGACTTGTAGTTGAATTCACATCAGTCACGATTATGCAAGTCCTATTGATTGTTTGTATGTCTTCATTCCATTCCAGACAAATTTTAATGAAGTGAACAATCAATGTGGAGTTTTAAGATAAGTTTTAAAAATGTGTGGGTGTAACAAATACATGTTTGAGCTAAATATACCTAGAAAAGAGCAAATCATCTCAATAAAGGTGTAATGAATGTAGTTCAGAGAAAGCAAACATGTTTACATCAGCGCATGTATGTTTGTTAGTATTGTGCCTTGTTTGCCTCACTCACATCTTCATGCACTGCATCAAACACCAGCCGTTATTGTTGTTCTTGTTTTGTCCAGGTCAGTGTTATTTTCTGTTGTTGCTCACCCTTCTCTCCTTTCTCTCCGTAACCTTCTTCCTCCTTTCCGTCCTCTCCTCTTCTCTCATGCACCCTCTTCTTTTCCAGGTACCAGTCCAGCCAGCAGCACCCTGAGGCGCAACATGTGATGCCTTATCACAACATGGGCTATCACACAGAAGGTCCCAGAGATGAGCTGGTCATGGCTGAGCTATCTGTCCATCGGGAGCAGCCTCTTTACCAGGAACCTTTTTACCAGAACTACCCTGCAGCCCCAAATCACTACCAGGAGCAGATGTACAATGTCAGGGAGCAGCAGCAACATGTCGGCGTCCAGCATCACTCTCAGCATCATCATGTAATACAGCAGCAGGAGCAGCAGAGTGTCCAGCACCAGCCTCAGCCTGCTGGGCCGCCTCAAGGTATTGGAGAGGATTTTAATCAAATACATTTTTCCTCAGACGCAGTATCAGCTGCAGTAGGTCTCTTTCAGTCTACTTTAAAGAAGTGATTTGTGTGTGAGTTAAAGGTCCAGTGTGTAAGATTCAGGTGAAAGGGATCTATTGGCAGAAATTTCATGTAGAATAATCCTCATGATGTTTTCACTAGTTCGTTTAATCTAAATTGTTTGAATTGTAGTTTTCTTTATCCCAGGAAAGGTCCTTTATATTCAAATACTTTATATTTACATTGAGGGAACCCTCTCTACGGAGGCCGCCATGTTTTTTACATTAGTCCAGACTGGACAAACTAAACACCTTTTGAGTTTTTCATGTTTCATGTACACAGTGTACCTTTAAGAATGTTACAGAATGTAAATTAAAATTCTTATAATGGCTTCTGCTAAACAAACTCCAAAATGCCACACATATTTTTTGTTGTGTGTGTCATATTTCACACCTCACTCCTCCTTTTCTTTGAACCAGTTGTGACACCAGTGAAGAAAAAGAGAGGCCGGCCTCCAAAACAGCAGGCGGAGGACGGCGAGGTACAGGAGGAGGAGGATGAGGCCGAAGCAGCCAAGAAGGCCAAGAGGGCTCTCAACCGCTTCAACGGCATGTCAGTGGCTGAGGTTATGGCCAAAACCCTGCCAGACGTTATTACCTACAATCTTGACATTTTGATAGTGAGTTATATAATGGGACGCCTATTGAGAATGTATTTGTTTCTATGAATAATTGGTGGGTTAATGTTGTTTGTGACAATTATACAAGGAAAACCTCCAAATTTCAAAACCCTTTACACATAATGTACACATAATCTGGTCACATAAAACTGTAGTTTTTAGTTCTATTGCCATAGTAACACCTTCATGTTTCTCCTCAGATTGGAATTAACCCAGGACTTATGTCAGCCTACAAAGGACACCATTACCCAAACCCAGGAAACCATTTCTGTATGTTGAAATTCAATTTCATTACTGACTACAGGGAGTATATGCCAGTATTCACTTTTAACTGCTTCTACCCTGTTTGAACCGGTTGTGGTGGGTTCATCATTACAAATGTTTGTGATGCTGTTTAGATTTGTTATAAATTCAAATGCAAACAGATACCAAAGCTTCCAGGGACCTGACATGATGATGTGATACAATTAACCTTTGTAATGTTCAATCCAGCCATGCTTGTGCAGCCATATAAATGGTGTCTTGGGTTTGAATATTTCACTGTGTATAAAATATGTAGCTGCAGTGAGTCAGTGGAGCAATCAGACAGAATATACTGTATGCTTGACACTGTACAATTTTGAAATGTGTTTTTGCTCACATTTAAGCTTTTGAATGGGTCAGTAAAGAACAATATCAACATTTTGAGGCCATATTTCCAGACAGTGAGATGTAGCTAAGATCTGCGTGAACAAGGCTTTCATCAATCATAAATAGATCCTGAAGAATATTTGTTATCACACTATTTCTAAAGTAGTAAAGGCGCAACGCATTTTTTTCTCTCAATCTTCTACGTTTATTATCTTAGTGTATTAATTTTCTATATGTTTTGTGCACTGTTTATCGTTTCGCTGATGACACTGGTGCTGCACACCTCATCAGGTCATGCAGTAGCACTGAACATCATTTTGTCATCATGCTGTAAAACAAACCTGCTCATTGTCCAGCAGTGTGTGACAGTAAAGTCGTGCAGATTCAGTGCAGCTACGTTACCTGAAAGTCTGTCAAAAAACTAGTTTCGGTCAGTTGTATTGACACCTTGTATTTGCTCAATTTGCTCTTCTGTACAGGGAAATGTCTGTTTCTCTCTGGTCTAACTGACCAGCAGCTCAACTACATGCATGATGAGAGCCTGCCGGAGAAATACAGCATCGGCTTCACCAACATGGTGGAGAGGACCACGCCTGGCAGCAAGGACCTCTCCAGGTCAGGAAGAAAAACTCACATTGTGATGCACAGTTTGTAGAAAGGCAGTTTTAATTAGAATAAATCACATTCCAGTCATTTGAGTTGTTTAGGTTTTACAGAACGATGTGATGAATATAGTCGAATCTAATTAACTGTGTACCTCGACAGAACATTGAAAAGATTTTATTGTCTGTATATTTTTTTTGCAGTAAGGAGATTCGTGAAGGAGGTCGACAGTTACTTGAGAAGTTGCAGAAATACAAACCATTAATAGCAGCTTTTAATGGCAAAGGTAACTTTTTGTAACAATGAAATAACTGTACTTTTCTCCATTTCTGTTCTTATATGTTTTTCTCATGAAGCCATTGAATAAGTTTGACAGAATCTTTCCTTTTGCAGGTATTTATGAAATCTTTTGCAAAGAAACCTTTGGCGTAAAGGCAAAGAATCTAGAGTTTGGTCTGCAGCCCTACAAAATACCAGAAACTGAAACAGTATGAAGAAACAGTACTCAAATTATACTTAAAATATACTCAACAATTTATACAACCATTCTCAAAGTATATTTCCTCCCACCCATAGGTGTGCTACTTGATGCCCTCATCAAGCCCTCGCTGTGCTCAGTTTCCCCGAGCGCAGGATAAAGTGCATTTCTACATCAAGCTGAAGGAGCTGAGAGACCAGATGAGAGGTTTTGTACCCAGTCGAGAGGTGACGGAGACCGAGTACTCCTTCGATCTGCTGCTAGCTAAAGGTAAACAGTTGCTACAATTCTCTTAAACTGTACAGTTTGATTATTTTAATGACCTGTTTGACTACAGAGATGTACTTGCTTTTTGGGATTGTCTTAAACAAAAGCATGGTATGTATTTGTTAGTTTGACAGACACATGTAGCTCTGGATTCAAATGTGACCACCTCTCTAATGGATTTGTTTTGCAGAGGATGCAAAGAAGATGGCAATCAAAGAAGAGCAGGTGGATCCAGAGTATGAAAGCTGTAGTGCTCAACATGACGACGTGAGGCAAAGCAGCACTGTCTCCAACTAAAACAGGCCGAGGAGAGGAGAAACACTGGCCTCTTTCCCGTAGCACACAGGTAGTGCAGTTACCACATGGTTTTGTGTGAATTTAGCTAAAGTTTGTGGACGTATATTTCAGGTGAATATAATAATATAATGGTCGTTATGGTCTTGTGCATAATTCATTGTTAATGTGATATCTTGCAGAATCACTACAGCTGGAGATGATCCCCCAACAGATACCAGCCGCATTGCTCCCTGTGATGCATCAGTAAGAATAAGAAGCCCTCTGATGACACCACAAGAGGATTCCCACTGTTTCTGAGGCATTGCAATGTGACGCACAATAAAGTGCACAAACAGTTCCATTTTCTTACTCCCAAGAAGACTGTGCATGTTTTTGGTGTTTTTTAAAATCACTATTTATTGCATTTTTAAGGTGTGTGTCCCGTGACTTATTTTTGTATTTTGAAAGAATGACATTTTATGATTTATCAGCTGTAAAAATAGGTACTTGTACTCAAGAATTTCTAATCTGTTATTACAGAGTTATTAAATCTCTTCTAACGCTGCCACATGTATTGTGTGATTGTCCAAAGTAAATCATGTGAAGCTGAAGCAACTGATGAAACCCTCGCATAAAGAAATGTTTTTCCCCCCAGCAGCCTTGTGTGCAGTACACTGCTGCATACCTTAAACTGAACATATAGCTGCTGGAAAGAAACAGATACAATCAGAATAACTCTTCAATATGTTTATCAATACTTTTCTTTTGCACACTTACAAAAATGAACTAACAAGTTAATGTTTTCTCAATCAAAGCACACAGTAAAGATTTGCACTTTACAAAGGCAGTCACTAACCCACCAGCCACATTCAGTTTCCCATTGAGTAAAGAAACCCTCTCAAATGGAAGAACTTATAGCATCTACCTCACTCTGTGTTTAATACTTGGTCTGGTCGTCTTTTTCTACAATACTACAATTCATTCTTTTGCCAGACGTAAAACAAGGTTGTGTGAATGTAAGTTATGGTTTCCTCTATACTTTCTCATGTATTATATACAGGCTCTGTTGATGACTTAAGAAATCATTGTCGTTTATGTCTGGTTGCTATGTCTACAGACCAGCTGTTGTGTTAAACGCCACGCTTAGGGACAGATTTAAGCATTGTTCAGATGTAATTTTGCATCGCACACCTATCCTTGACACTGTGCTTGAACACGCGTGGAAGTAATTGAAGCCTCCAGACACATGCTTCAATTGGAGGAGGCTGCAGATCAGTATTTAAAACAATGGCTGAAAAAAAAAGTCAGTATCACAAACAGGAATGTGTATAATCAGGTTCCATTGACTTATCGTGCATAACTTGTTTATAGCATGGTTGCAGTGAAGGAGAATTTCAAATCAATAAAAATGCAGTGTACCACAATTGAGCATTGAAACCTTTTTTTAATTTGAATGAAATCAAATGATTGATTCTTTCCTCTCGCATTATTGTTATATTGTGTCAGTGGTAATAATAGTTTTTGGAAGTGTAGGAAGAATAAAACCTTATTAAAAAGAGAAGCTGTGAACATTACGGTGAACCAGCCAATAGAATACAAGCTCTGAGAGTTTAAATGTCGAGCAGCTCATACCAATTACAAAGTAGGTGTATGTCGTTGTTCTTGGTTGACATTTATGAATTGGGTTTACTTTAAAACATTATATATAAACATATATATATTTTATTAAACGTTTCAATATCGATTAGTCTGTGATGAGCTGCTTTGAGGTATTTATTTTGACCATGGTTAAATGTATTTTCCCCTCGCCCCCCTGATTCTCAGACTTGAGCTCCTCCGGTGTCAGAGTTGACCGGCAGGACTGTCATGTCTTTGTTGCCCGTGGAGCTGCTCCAGTATTGTGAACAGCAGACCGGGCTAGATGGAAAAATAACAGTCGCTGTACAGAGGAAACACATTTGAACTCTAACCCACAGCAGGTACGTTCGATATCTTAATTACCGGGGCACCGTGTGTGGTTTATTTGTGAGGAATCTCAGTGGTAGCGTATCAAACCGTTCATCCATGCTAGGTTAGCTTAGCAGCTAGCTGTTGGCTAACACTAGCTGCACTTGTGGCACAGCTACTGAAGCGCTGTAAACGAACCCATTGATATCATCAGCCCAATAAAGAGACATGTAGGATAGAGATCAGATGTCCTCAAGGTTGAATCCACCTTCAGTTAATGAAAGTACTTGTTTTTAAAACGCTGTAAACTGGTCTTCATCCGGGTTTTATGTTTGTAAGCGTAGCTATATGAGAAGGGACCATTTTATGTACATACAGGATTTGGTGTTTCATTAAAAACGTTTTAAGAATGTCATTGCCATCTATGTTGCTTTATGTTTATATTTTTTTGTCTTGTGGTTTATCTTTTGTTGCCTCAGTTTGTCTACGGTACCCTGGCACATGCATTCAGTTTCATACACTGCCAGAAACCACATGTGCATCACCTCAACATTCATATTGATTTATTTGATAAAGTTAAACCACCCCAAAAGATGGAAGAAAAGCTGAATGGATCACTGCCTGTTGTGTCCCCGGAGTATCTTCATCAGTGGTGAGTCTTCCTCCTCACCACCGTAGTACAGGAGTCACATGATAGCATCACAGCTCTGAATGGCAACGTGTGATGAAAATGAATTGAAAGCATGTGCACCCAGTTAAACCTTTGACTTTAATAACACCCGCTTACCACCACAACGTCATGTGCATCCTATACCCCAAATGACGATTTATTTTATTTTGTTCTCTGTAATATTTTGTTGATGATTGATGTCATTTAATTGTGTTGTACAACAGGCTGAACCACAAATAACATGTCTCACCCTTGGGTCATTCTGTGTCAAATCATCACACTCTTGGGCCGCACCATCACAGATATATTAATGAAAACTTTCATGCTGATTCTGCACATGAGAAACCAATGGAACTGGAATGTTTTGTGTCCCAGATCCCAATTAAGAGGCTTATGAAGTTCAAACTCTTTTGGGGAGATACAAGATTCCCTCTGGGCTATACTCGGGCTACAGGTGTGACGCATTATTCACTGTTGCTAATGCACGTTGTAGTCTGAGCCTCACACAGCTGTATGCATTTGTTTGTGCAACGTTTGCACATTCACTGCACTGAACTCAGAGTAGAACAGTAGCATACGAGTAAACAAGCTTACACAGCGAGCGAGTGGCCAACGCAGTCATCAGTCTTTGGACATGAGGCGTTTCATATTCCATGGAATTGTTTGACTAACTTGCCAACTAAACCTTTAAATATGGTTTTACCTGCTTCTGATAATAAATTAGCAAGTTGTCAACTTTGATTACACTGACCAACGTCAAGTAACCAAAAAACTAGACAAAGCAAACTCACCAATGAGTGAAATATGTTCTGATATTCACTCTAGTTCAGTTTCCCACTCTGTCACTTTACTGTTTACTCTGAAAATGTCCCCTTCAGTTTTTTCGATGGCTCTACCATGATAAGTTGTTTCTTAAAGCTTATTTTGAAGCTGTTATTTTACTTATAAACTGCTTACTGTTGTTTTAATGAAGGTTACAGAGAAATAGTTATATTATTTACAACTCCTTTCAAGCTTCATATTCATAGGAACAGGATGTTATCCTCAGTATAAAACAATAGGATAGTGCAGGTCAACAGTGTGATGGTTTTTCATAGAATGACCCCGTTGTTCGCCACACAGTTTAGTAGGTACACCAAACTTAAACTACAACCAGAACAGACGTGCTATCACTATTTACTTCAGTAAGATTAGAATGATCAGTTTTAATTGAAACCATTTTCGCCTGTAGTTTGGTATCTTTAAGTATGTTTTTCTAAAGTTTTTTCACCTTCATTGACATTAAGTTCTCCGAACAATTCACTCCAAAATTATTTTTAACAACTTGGACTTAATGATGAGACCAAGTAAAGAAACCAATCCTTTGTGAGGATTTGTTGTTTCTGCATCAAATGTGAAATGTAACCAGCATAGACCAGCATAGTCTATCCCAGCTGTGACCTCAGAGTACAATCCAGTGGTGGTTTTGCTTGGTTTTGTCTATTATTTCTACCTGTGAGTCTTAAATCTTCTTTTACCACAGGGTTCAGTCTGCTCAGCAGTTCCACGCTCTCCAGGCACAATATTCAGGTTACAACAACAACCAACAGTTTCACTACTCAGATACGCAGATGGAAGAGGCAGCCATGGCAAACATGGCTCATCCAGAGCCCATGATGGATCAACACGAACCTGCTAACCTGGCAAAAGGTAGTGTAGTCACTTTTGAATAAAACAACCTAATTGTATGTCCTAGCTGGTAGTGTGTCAGGTCCAAAATGTCTCAGTTTGTCATTAAGTGTTTACACAATGTGTACCAAATATTGTATCTCTACATGGTGTTAGCATGCTAGTTAGAAGGCATGCAGTAAAGTATATCTACTTTTGTCAAGTATATTTAGTTTCTTGAAAAAGTTTAAGCTTTGAATGTTACCAAACTCTCCAAACCTTAGCTCGATGGACTAATATTTAGGCAGCGTAAGATGGAGTCTGCCAACACAACAGGTCAGGGGGGACTTTGTTTCAACAGGTCTTCTTTCTGATATCCTCTTTCTCACCTTGTCTTGTAGCTCCAGCCAAAAAGAGAGGCAGACCAGCACAACCCAAGGCACCCAAGCCGCCCAAGCCACCGAAAATACCTAAGGCACCAAAGCCACCAAAGCCGCCTAAAGACCCAAATGCGCCTAAAGCCAAACCCGGTCCCAAGCCCAAGAAGGCCGCTGAGGCTCCAGCAGATGGCAAGCAGGAGAAGATAGATGAGAGCTTCAAGAAGGTGAAGCGGAAAGTTGACCGCTTCAAGGGAATGTCAGAAGAAGAAGTCATGAAAAAAACTCTACCAGACCTGCTGGATTACAACCTAGACTATGTCATTGTAAGGTTCTTTGTCCATCTTTTTTTTACAGCAGAATCAAGCTCTGTGCTCCTGGGAATGAATTTGACTTTGCAATCTTCAAAAACATCTGAAATCTTTGCTTTCAGATTGGTATCAATCCAGGGCTGATGGCAGCTTTCATTGGACGATGGTTTCCTGGACCTGGAAATCATTTTTGTAAGTTTGTGACGAGAACAAATTTGAGTTTGTTCCTTTGCTGCTCTGGAAAGATTATCAGAGGATGACAAATAGTTTTGTCTGTTCAGGATTTTAGAAAGTCATACAGGATAGTGTTTGAAGGGAGCATATTACCTCTGTAAGACCAATGGTGAGCTTTAAGCTTTTCAAGTCAGGAGTTTTTCAAACCTGAAGGTAAGTTGTTCGATGCCTGGCTCCTTCAGTCAATGTGCAAAAGTTTCCTGGGGAAAGACACTGAACCCTAAATTCCCCCTGATGGCTGTTTCGTCAGAGTGTGAATGTGTGATATAAAAGCACAGCATATAGTATGGCTGTGTGAATGTGAGAATGAGACCTGCAGTGTAAAACAACTTGAATGGTTGATAAGATTAGAAATCACTATACACATAGAGCACATTTA